AAAAAAAAAAAAAAAAAAAAAAAAAAAAAAAAAAAAAATACTCCTCCATCTCTTTCTCCTCATCCTATTAGTTGGACTTAGTGCTTTATATCTGTCAAGCAGGTACTCTACCACAGAGCTAAATTCCCAAACCCTGAAAAGATTTACTCACCTTTCTGTTGTCTTGTTTGTACATATGCACACAGGAACCCATCCTGCTGGGATTTGATCATGATTATACCTTACTCATTTAATCTCTAAATCAACTGAGAAGAGCCAGTATCTTCATAAGACTGAACCATCCAGTCTGGGAAAATGTTCCCCTCTGTTAGGTATTCTTTAATTTCTTATAATAGCACCTCACTGTATAGAAGTCTTGCATATTTTGTAAAACTTTTGCCTAAACTGTGATGGTTCTTGATGTTATTATAAATGTTATCAATATGCTTTCCAGACTAGGGACATGGTTTGCTGGATAACAGTGCTTGCTGCATTGGCACCAGGACCTAAGTTTTGATCCTAAGTTTAAAAAGAAAAAAACAATGCTGAGCATGGCCATGAATACCTGTGATCCCAGTCTCAGGGTGGAGGGGAGAAGTGAGGATGGATCAGGCTTGCTAGCCAGGTAGCCCAGCTGGAAGAATGAAGGGTACTAAAGTAAGATATGCAACGTCTCTGGAAGCACACACATAGACATGAACTTGGTGTGTACTCACAAGCACAGACAGACACACACTTCCTAACTACTTGTGGCTGACTCACTTCTGATCATTAGTTAAACCCTAGGTTAGTTACTAGGAAGTCTAGGATTGTCTCAACATGCAGTTATACTGTTCAGTAATAAAAAGAATCTTTTGCTCCTTTACTTCTTTCTCTAGCTTCAATCCTAATCCTAATGTAACCCTAACTCCTTTCCTTGATTTTGTTGCACTGGTTAGAATTTTCGATCAAATGTTAAGCAGAGATAGTAAGTGTGTGTGTACTAGTCATGGGGCAGCGGTCCAACTGCTCTATATGGTGTATTATATGTGCTAGAAAGTAAAGCTAGCTTGCTTAGAGCTCCTAACATTTTGGTTGTTAAGCTTGGCCTTTAATGTCTGAGCTATCTTTCCAGCTTTCTTAGAACTCTTTTTTTTTTTTTTTTTTTTTGCTAAAAGAAGGCAATGGACAAGGCTTGTTTTATTTTAATGACTGATCCACGGGAGGCCACAGCCAGGCCACCACTATGTACAGACTGAGGGAAGCTTATTTCTTGGTCTCTTCCTCCTTGGACAGAGTCTTGATGATCTCCTCCTTCTTGGCCTGCAGGCGCTCCTCCCTGCGCTTCCGTGCTTCCTTGGTCTTAGACCTGCGAGCCTCAGCCTGGTCAGCCAGTAGCTTCTTGCGGGCCTTATCTGCCTTCAGTTTGTGGATATGTTCCATGAGAATCCGCTTGTTTTTGAATACATTGCCTTTGACCTTCAGGTACAGGCTGTGATACATATGGCGGTCAATCTTCTTAGATTCCCGGTATCTCCTGAGGAGCCGGCGTAGAATCCTCATTCTTCTCATCCAAGTGACCTTCTCGGGCATCCGAGCGTTGGCTGTACCCTTCCTCTTCCCTATGCCCATGTGCCTGCCCTTTCGGCGGGCCAAAGTGTTCTTCCGGCAGCGAGCCCGGGAATGGACAGTCACGGGCTTCCGGATGATCAGCCCATCTTTGATCAGCTTCCTGATCTGCTGACGGGAGTTGGCATTGGCGATTTCATTGGTCTCATTGGGGTCCAACCAGACCTTCTTTTTACCACAGCGGAGGACACTAGAGGCAAGCCTCTTCTGTAGCCTGAGCATACTCATGGCTGCGGACGCAGCAGCGAAAGGAGTTGTTTTTTTTTTTTTTTTTTATAAATCTTTTTTTTTTTTTAAGATTTATTTATTTTATTTATGAGTACACTGTAGCTATCTTCAGATACACCAGAAGAGGGCATCGAATCTCATTATGGGTGGTTGTGAGCCACCATGTGGTTGCTGGGATTTGAACTCAGGACCTCTGGAAGAGCAGTCAGTGCTCTTAACCACTGAGCCATCTCTCCAGCCCTTCTTAGAACTCTTAATCATGAATGGGACCTGGATTTCAATTAAAGCGTTTCTTTGCAGAGGGTTGAGAATGAGGAGGGTGGGATAAAGCATCCACAATACCCCTGCTGTCTACTTTCATCATCAGTTGACATAAGTTGGACCAGAGTTAAACTGCATGGCATTTCTTATTCATGCTTTAAGAAACAAAAGCCCTTACTCTCTTCCCTCCTGTAAATGAGTATCAATCCCATATACATTTAATGCATATTAAAATAATCTTGATACCCATTAATCATGCCAGTCTTTAATCTAAGTACCAGTACCCAGTAGGGAACAAGACACCAATAGGGTCTGATTTTCTATCCTGTAAATATCACTCTGATGGACAGAGTGACTAATGCAGAAGTAAAAGAGAGTGATATTCAAAGTTGAACAGAAGTGGTGGCCATATTCCAGACAGAGGGCCTAATGAGACATCTCAGGAAGCAGGGTGGTGGAGGATGCAGGAGCCTAGTGGCTCAGTGCCTGAGAGGCCAGAAGAGACTCCAATTTCTCTCAGTGTAAAGATGATCAGAGAACAACTTGAGTAGGAAAGTGTAGACCAATTTAACTACATAGATTATTGTTTTGTGGAGAAAACCGTGGTAGGAACTCTGGAGAGGGTTCTGTTGCATAGATGAGGTGGCAGTAGGAAGGACTAGGACTTAAGGGTAGATCAGAACCTGCCAATGATTCATTATAAACAGGAAAAAACAGAATGACAGATAAAATGAAATAAGTCCAGGTTTTTTGAAAGAAGCCAAAAATACAGAAACAAAATTATGTTGTATCATAAGCTATAACTACTTATGTCCCTCTCATAGAGCTAAATTTGAGGTTTCTATGCTTCAAGGTAATACAAAATGTTTAAACAGCTCTAAGATGAGTGTCACTTCACTCCGTGTGAAACTGTCATAGCAAACACACAGACTCATGCTACTAAATACAGATGCTGGCTATGAAGAGGTGCTTGTTTAGACTATCTGTCTCTACAAAGCAGCTAACCTTGATACCAAGAAATAAGTGACTTCAAGGAAATAAATTTTAACTCTAAAAGTCATTGTATAACCATTATTGATCCTCTGTCTTAACCAGTCTTCATACTTCAAAGACACTCCAATGAGCACTTAAGTAGGAGTGGGAAAGCTACACTATACAACACAGCCTACAGCCTGGGATCACTCCTGAGTTACACCAGCCCACTCCATCTTCAGTTCTTATCTGCAATGTGAAGGATCCTGCAAGTGGAGAATGGGTCCAGTGGCAAACACTTCAGGAGCAGAAAAAAAAAAGAAAAAAAGAAAAAAAAATCAAAGGATAGGAAAGTGACTGAGACCAGAGAAGAGAGGAGGCCCAGTTTAGAAGGACTAGAGAAAGAATCTGTAAGTACAAAGTGATCATGCTGACGGGCCAGCACTTATCAACAGGAGCCAGCTGATTTGAGCTTGGCTATCCCAGGGGAAGAAAAAACACTCATCAGGAATCATCAAGGTATGAAGAAGACTCCACAGCATGGTATGGTAAATAGCATAAAACTGCTAACAAGTCACAAATCAACAGCAGGATCAGCACTGCCGTATCCTACCAAGACTAACTATAAAAGGACATCGTTACAAAATGAAATGATTTCCAATAGGGGACAGCAAAACTCCACAAAAACTCAATGAAGAAAAATACCCCCTAAGTCCATGACTTGAATCAGAGTTTGTAACAGAACTACTGGCCAAAATGCTGTGACTCAAACAATATACAGGGAAAGACTGTGATGGTTAAGCTTTTTCATCTTGTCAGAATTTACAATCACCTAGGAGACAAACCTCTGTGTCTGGGAGGGTGTTTCCAGAAAGGTTTAACTGAACAGGGAAGACCATCGCTGAACCATAGAGGTGCCACCCCACAGCCTGTGGTCTCATATTTAATAAAAAGAGGAAACAAGCTGACATCAACAGTCGTATCTCTGTTTCCTGACTTCAGATGCAAACTGACCCACCATGTTATATTGGTTGTCGTGTCTTGTCTGACATAATCGTCTGTATTCTTTCTCATACTGTGAGCTAATATAAACCTTCCCTACTTAAGTTGCTTTACATATGCTTTTTATCACAGCAATAAAAAAAAGTACATACCATGACTAAAATAAGATACTTACTACAAATCTACTATGCAATTTTTCTAAGATTCTTTTTTCATTCAGAGCCATGGTTTCACCTCTCCTCTTCTTTATTCTTTTTTTTTCTAGTTTTTTGCAGGCATACATTTTTCCTGTAGCTCGTACTTGACAGGCACAAACCTAGTTTGAAGGGGGGAAAGATTTATATATAACTGACATTTTTAGGGCATGTGAATAAAATTTTTTCCCTATGATAATCTTCCCTGGTAAAGGCTAGATACTGCATGTGATAAGCCAAGGCCATCTGGGTACTGATAACTAGAAGTTTCCAGCTGGATCTTCTTTGGACTCCCAGTTTCTTGTCACTAGTAGCTGTTGGGAATGAAGTGAATGAAACTGTGCTTTATCAAAATGCAAAGGAGACTTGTTTTTCTTTGTGATCATGCTGAGTCTATTTACGTATGTCCTGATATGTCTCTAGATTCTTATAAAAACAACACTTTAGAATATAAAATTTGAATAACTCTGGGTGTGGCTTGGTTTGGTTTTTGGTTTTGTTTTTTTTCTTAACAAGGCTGGGTATAACAGGTCCATATACTTAGGAAGCTAAAGCAGGGCCCAACACTCTCCTGCCAAAGATGAGGTCAAGATGGTAACCCAAGATCACACATCTGGAAATGGCAAGCAGGACTTGACCTTGGGCTTGCACAGCTGTTAAGTACATGTTCTTCTCACAACACTGTGCTAACTCTGGAACCAGTCATACACCCAAACGCTTTCCACCATGCTTCCCTTAGGAAACTGTACATTGACTTGACAGCACTTAAAGCACAAGCAAAGGAATTACTGTTGGCAAAATAAGTAAATTACCTACCTTCCAAGCTCACTGGGACAAGTAGGTGCTAATGCTAGGAATTGAGGCTGACAAGGAACTATAACTAACCTTGCACTTACTCAGTAAGGCTCCTGTAGTATAAATTATTTAATCCAGACCTGGGGTCTCTACTCTACTTTAGACCATCTAGTCCCCAGATAAAAGACACACACAACCTTTATATTTACAAATAAACCTTAATCAGCACAAGAGCTGGGCTGATATCTGTCTTCTAAGCTATTAGAATCAGCTTTCCTATGGGTAACCCCAAATTATTTATTGTTACTTATTATGTTTCAACTGGGGTGTTCTTAACTCCAATTGGCCAGCCCTCAGGGCCGCATTTTTATGGCTTACCTAACCCATGGCAGCTTCTCCTTCTTTCACCTTCTCCTCTTCAAGCCTGGGAAACCTAAACCCCACCTATGTCTCTTCTTCCAGCCATTGGCTGTTGGTATATTTATTTACCAATCAGAAATAACTTGAGGGCAGGGTCACAGGTCTACATGCAGACTCCAGGTCTTGGGAGCCCACACTTAGCATTACAATAGACAATAAGACCAAAACTCAACAGGCTCCCTCTAACAGATACTCAAGAGTAGAAACAGACCACACCTGGTTTTCCAGCCTTGCCTTAGAGCCTAAAATACCCACAAAAGGTCTACAAAGAGCTACCACAGCTAATTCATTCATCTAATCTTTTGTTTGAAAGCCCAAGTAAATATATCCAAATATAATCTATATCATCTTTCACAATGATTAAATTGTTCATGTGATCCTACTGAACATATCTTAAATCATATATGTGGTTATAATTAGAATTTCATTTCTTTTAAACAAAAGTCCCAACTCCCTAAAACTTTTCCTCTGTTCCTTGACAAAATCTAAAGCTTTGTACATGGAGCTCAACAACAACAGCATGAGCGGAGAGGAAAGTCTCTGGTCTAGGACACATTCCACAGAGGTTCCTTATAGACCATCCCATGAAGGGCTTAAAACAGTGTTGGGTGAATTAGCCAAACACAAATCTATAAGTTGTGCAAGCCTCCAGCTGTGTAAGGGGTACACATCCAACAGGAAGTGATGACAGTTCTGGCCCACTTCCTTCACCTCAATATGTAAATGGCTAACAGAGCTCACTTGAGCACAGTAACTCTGAAGCTGGTTTCCTAATTTTGAGACAATGCTGGTAGATTCTGCTTTTATTTTAAATTAGAATTCAAGAGCATGTATGATTTCATTCACATCTGGGCAGTGTAACCTGGCTCTGTTTTTAAAAAGTGTTAATTCTTAATGGCATGCATGCCTGTCTCATGTGGACTCAGAAATCCATAGATTGAACATGATCACTCCAGATAATTAATGAAACAATTAACATCTCTTTAATTTATCACAATAGAACTGTGTGCTATTCTCTATCTAGCTGCTACAAATGATCTCTATCCAAAATAATCATTGTATTTAAAACATACAAATCTGTGACATTTCCCTAGGATTTTTCTAAACTCATACATTTTAAAAATACTTTAAAGGTGTTGGGATCATACTCAAGGCCTTGAATATATGAGGCAAGGACTGTACTATGTTCTATATCCCTAGATCTGAACACTTCTTTTTTCTCAGACAGGGTACTTACTATGTAATCCAGGCTAGTCTAGAACTTTCTATTTTCGTAACTCAGTTTCCCAATTACAGGAGGCATACATCATCACAAGAGGCCCTGAACACCTTTTAATGCAGGTATAAGGTACATCTATATCTATACTGATTAGTTTTATTTTATTTTTTTTGTTTATAACATGGTTTATTAAATTTTTTTTGGATGTTTTATTTACATTTCATATGTTGTCCCCTTACCCCATCCCCCACCCACCCAGGAACACCCTATCCCCTCACCCCTCCTCCTTCTTCTCTTCGGATGTAACCCCTACCTACCCCCCCACTCCCACCTCCCCACCCTCAAATTCCCACCCCCTGGGGCATCCAGCCTTCATGAGGTCAAGGATCTCTTCTTCCACCTATGCCCAGCAGGGCCTTCCACTCTTACGTAATCAGCTGAAGCCCTGGATCCCTCCCTAAGTGTTCCCAGGCTGGTGGTTTAGACCCTGGGAGCTGTGGTTGGTTGGTATTGTTGCTCTCCTCATGGGGCCACAAACCCTTTCAGCTCCAATGGCCTTCACCTTCCTTATCAAAAAAGATAAGGAAGGACACTTCATACTCATCAAAGGAAAAATCTACCAAGGAGAACTCTCAATTCTGAACATCTATGCTCCAAATGCAAAGGCACCTACATGCATAAAAGAAACTTTACTAAAGCTCAAAACACACATTACACCTCACACAATAATAGTGGGGGATTTCAACACCCCACTCTCAGCAATGGACAGATCATGGAAACAGAAACTAAACCGAGACACTTTGAAATTAACAGAAGTTATGAACCAAATGGACTTAACAGACATCTATAGAACATTTCATCCTAAAACAAAAGAATATACCTTTTTCTCAGCACTTCATGGTACCTTCTCTAAAATAGACCATATAATTGGTCACAAAACAGGCCTCTACAGATACAAAAAGATTGAAATAATCCCTTGCATCTTATCAGATCACCACAGACTAAGGCTGGTCTTTAATAATGACAAAACCAATGGAAAACCCACATGCACATGGAAACTGAACAACACTCTACTCAATGATGACTTGGTCAAGGAAGAAATAAAGAAATTAAAGACTTTTTAGAATTAAATGAAAATGAGGACACATCATACCAAAACTTGTGGGACTCCATGAAGGCAGTGCTAAGAGGAAAACTCATAGCTCTAAGTGCCTACAAAAAGAAACTGGAGAGAGCACACACTAACAACTTGACTGTACAACTAAAAGCTCTAGAACAAAAAGAAGCAAATACACCCAAGAGGAGTAGAAGGCAGGAAATAATCAAACTCAGGGCTGAAATCAACCAAATAGAAACAGAAAGAACAATACAAAATATCAACAAAACCAGGAGCTGGTTCTTTGAGAAAATCAACAAGATTGATAAACCATTAGCCAGATTAACCAGAGGGCACAGAGACAGTATCCAAATTAATAAAATCAGAACTGAAAAGGGAGACATAACAACAGAAACTGAAGAAATTCAAAAAATCATCAGATCCTACTACAAAGGCCTATACTCAACAAAACTGGAAATCCTGGATGAAATAGACAACTTCCTAGACAGATATTGATTAGTTTTAAATCATCAATTTGACACAACCTAGAGCTTAGAATAGGAAATTTCAATTGAAGAATAGTCTCCATCAGATTGCCCTGAGGCATGTGTGTGGGCTATCTTAATTATAGAGGAGGGTCCAGCCACCCTGGCCAGGTGAGCCTGGGTTGTATAAGAAAGCTGGTTTAGCATGACCCAGAGGAAGGAAGCATCCATGGAGCTGCTTCAAATTCCTGCTTGAATTCATGCTGTGGCCATCCTTGATGATAGTTGGAAACTTCAAAGTATAACAAACCCTTTCCTCCATGAGGTCCTTTTGGTCAGAGTGTTTTATCACAGCACTAGAAAGCAAACTAAGACAATGTCAAAACACAGCCAAGTTAAATAAACATATTTGACAATGTCATCTGGTTAAATACAATGGTATGTATTTATTTGTAGTCCCAGCTTGCTGAGGCACTAGGAGTTCTTGAGCCCAGAACCTAACTTGGAAAAGCTAGTGAGACTTCATCTCTTTAAAAATAAGTAGAACTCTATACAACTTAAACTTCAGAGCTACTCCTAAATAACAGAAATTTCACAAATTTTTCAATCTAGACAAACTGCCTGACTTGAACATCAACCATGAAAAAATAGCTTCTGTCAGAATGGAAAGGGTAAGGTGAATAAGTCACAAAGATAAGAAGTTTGTTATGTTGTTGATGTGGGGTTTTTTTGTTGTTGTTGTTTTTCGAGACAGGATTTCTCTGTATAGCCCTGGCTGTCCTGGAACTCACTCTGTAGACTGAGCTAGCCTTGAACTCAGAAATCCGCCTGCCTCTGCCTCCCAAGTGCTGGGATTAAAGGCGTGCACCACCACTGCCCAGCTTATGCTGTTGTTTTAAAGCTTAAAGCAAACTACATTTTGTTCAAAGATCCACCTGGATTTCAAATTGCCTGAAACTATTTTCAAGATACACAATAAGGAGATAAGTGTATTGGCAAAGGAGGCACATTACCTGAACTCACATGTATGGATAGCCAGCTATCTCTCTAACAGAATTACTGCCGTAACTGGCACAGGTTACTCACCTCTCCAAATCCGCCTTTTCCTAGAACTCTATATTGTCTGAATGTGCTCTTTGTCACTGGACACCTAGCCAATTAAAAAAAAAGTTATAGATGTCATATTGCACTGTTATTATAAAATAGAAAAGCCTACCTAGAGCTGGTATTAACTCTGTCTGTGCCCATATTACCTAAAACAGAGTGCCTGAGATGAAGGTGTCTATGCTCAGGACTCATAGCTCTCATTTTTTCATTCAGAGAAACAAGCACATGTAAAATTTATTAAAGACACTGATACAAATACAGAACAGCTCAATTATCCTCTGTAATTTAAGATAAGTATGCAAACAGCAGATTCTAGGAAATATATATGTTTACAGTTCATGGAACAATTTTTTTTTTCAAGGAAAAATCTTTGGCATACTTTCTAACCTGTCAAAAGGCACTGAAGAAAACTATATGAACATATTATACTTTTCTTTATGTAAAGTACCTCAAAATGTAACCTCTCAAAAAGAAGCGTGCGTGTGTAAGGGGGGGAGGCAGGGTGGCACACACCTTTAATTCCAGTATTCAGGATGCAAAGGCAAGTAGATCTGTTTAAGGTCAGCCTAGTCTACACAGCAAGTTCGAGACCAACCAGACTATATAATGAAACCTCATCTCAAAATTGGGGGTGAGGAGTCAGATGTCAATTATTAGTGGTAATTTATAATAATAATCATTTTAGAAATAGTAATCACAGTTATACTGATAGCATTTTTATGGCACTTCTTTTGTGCACCAAACCCTGGACTAAGCATTGTACATGCATCTCCCAGCAAGAGTCAAACAGTGTAGAGTTTGTGGTTGTTTGAATAAAAATGGCCCCAACAGGCTCACAGGGGAGTGGCATTATTGAGAGGTATGACTTTGCTGGAGTAGGTGTGGTTTTGCTGGAGAAAATGTCTCACTGAGCATGGGCTTTGGGTTTTCAGAAGCCCAAGGCAGGCTCAGCTTCATTCTGTCTTCCTGCTGCCTGCTGATATGAATGTAGAACTCTCAGCTATCTCTCCAGCACCATGTCTGCCTGTATGCCACCAGGACAATAATGGACTAAATCTCTGAACTGTAAACTAACCCCAATTAAATGTTTTCCTTTATAAGAGTCACCATGGTCATGGTGTCTCTTTGCAGCAATAGAAACCCTAAGGCAGGAGTGTAAGCATCTCTGTACGGAAAAAGGGTCTATGGCTCATAGTGGTTAAGTCACTTCCCTAATGCCATACAGCTAATAAGAATTTGAACACAGGCTTAGACTGTGAAGTTTCAACCACTCCATTGTATTCCTATAAGACCAAAACGTGTTATTTCCTAACCATGTATCATGAGTGTTAACTACCATTTTAAAGAAAAAGAATGGGGTCTACTGAATCAGAAGAAATTATATAATATTCTACCTATTGAAGATTTCTATGTAAAATAATATGTACAATCAAGATTTCCAGTAGTATAGTAATAGGTAGAAAAGTTAACATCAAAGAGTATGCATTGTGAAAAGTTACTACTTTTAGTTACTATTAAATTAAAACCTACCTTTCTAGCCATTTCCATTGTAAAAATCGATTATAGTAGGCACTCTCTTGGTATTCTTCAAATGGTGTTTCACTCAAATACTTATAGACAACTCTAGAAAAGATTTTACACAATTATATATCTATCATGTAAGAATATGACAGCTGAGTCATAGTTAAGAAACATTCAGTGAGAACGTTGACCCTTATACACAATTCAGTATACAGAATTTGCTATTATAGAAGTGCATAGATTCCAATATTATAAGCGAACATATAAAATTTTTTTAAAGAAATGGAGTCCCTTTACTCTCTAAAAGTCAGTTTTTTATGCATACAGACATAAAATAAATAATAACTCATTAATGAGGCTAGGAAAATTATTTGGTTAGTAGAGTGCCTTCTTTTTAGACATGAGGACCTAAGTTTGGATCCTCAGAACCCAGGTAAAAAGCCAAGCTTGATTGTGTATACCTGTACTCTCAATACTCTGGAGGTAGAGACAAGTGGATCAGGAATTCATGAACATCTTTGACATAGTGAGATCATGGTTAGTGTAGGCTACATGAGAAACTCTCTCAAAAGCTTGATATTGTAGCCTTAGCTTAGGAGTGTGGGTAGGGGAGTGAAGACTAAAAGATACTGAGGGGTTTGCTGGCCAGCCAGTCTAGCCAAAACAGCCAGGTCCATATTCAAGGAGAGACTCTGTATCAAAAAAATTAGATGGAGCACAACTGAAGAAAACAATTTTGACCTTTGGTATCCACATGTACATACACACACAGATTCCAACATCTACTCACACACAGACAGAGAGAAAGAGAGAGAGAGAGAGAGAGAGAGAGAGAGAGAGAGAGAGAGAGAGACTATAGGAATAGGAAGATAATAGTTTAAAAGACATTTGAGGTGTGTGCACAAGTGTGCATTTCATGAAAAAGTCAGCCTTTACCAGCAAAACTAAAGTGTTTAAATGTATAATAATAGTCCTATGGTAGGAAATAATGTATGTTACACAATCTTTTTTTAAATGTACACCTAATAATTTGATGTTATACATCTGTGTGTCTGTGTGTATGTATCATGTGTGTACAATGTGTGCATGTGTATGTAATATATTGACTCAAACTCCTGAAATACCCTTGTCTTCATCCCCCCTCACCCCATCCTTGATGCTGGGGTTATAGGCACAAGTAGTCATATTGGGCTTTTTTATGAGTATAGGAAAGCTGAACTCAGGTCCTCTTGCTTTAACAGCAAAATGTCTTACCAACAGAGCAATCTCTCTATATTACATAGTTCTTGGAGAAACTGTATGAAACTTACCCTGTCCCTTGGATCTTATTTATAATTCTATTACAGGAGTAATAAAATTCTTACTTGGGGGACTGGAGATATGGTTCAGTAATAAAGTGCTTACAAAATGTGTGACACTCTGGGTTCAATCCCTGATACCACAAAAATGGAACAAGGGCAGGTACATTACTTGTAAGAGAATGGGGCGGACAGAGGGCAAGTCATGAGCTGTACAAATTACTAACTTTGTAGGTAGACAGATCTGAAGCCTTCTGAGGGGGAGGCATGGTTTGGAGCATTATAAAACTTACTCAGATATCACAAACTAGGAAGTACTCAAGCATAGACAAAGTCCAAATGGAAAAATACTGTGGTATCATTGTGGAATTGGTAGTAGGAACTGAAAAGGCTTTAGAAATTCTCCCACTATTTCTACTGAGTTTGAGAATATTAGCCAGTCTCAGGATTTCTGTTTTACTTTATTCTATTTTTTTAAATAATGTAATTCACATATCCTTGATAATGAAGACCCCAATGGGTACTGAAGCCTTCACAGGAATGTATACTTGTCAATACGTATCTAGCACTAAGACCTGGTATGCTTTTTTGAAACTTCCTTTATGAGAAGAGAGGAGGGTTCCCAAACATAGGAGATACAATATTGTTATTTTTCTCAAAAATAGTGCTGAATGACTGCACAATGGTGATATACACCTTTAATTCCAACACTCAGGAAGCAGAAGGTGAATCTCTGTGAGTTTTAAGTCCAGTCTAGTCTACAGAGTGAGTTCCAGGATAGCCAGAGCTACACAGAGAAACATTGACTCAAAAAAATTTTTTTTGGAATATCTGTGTCTTATTTACTGAAAGCTATAATCCACAAAACAAAAGCTTTTCAGCCTTAGTCATTTTCAGAATGAGGAAGGGATATAAACAGTGTCCTCACACTTTCAGTCTGAATACTCCTCGGGAAGCTCTCTAGATCAGCCCTTGCTTTCCAATGAGGCAGGGAGGACTGTCCCATCTCTAGGAAGTTATCCTCAGATGTCACCTATCTCATGACTGGAATCTTTGCAAAATACTGCACAAACCACTTGATGTGCACCCTTGGGGAATATGTCCTTGTGAGGTTGTCAGCTGATCTGTCCCCAACATGACTCCTAAATGTAAGATGAAGCAGGAGAGTCACAAGGGCAGCAGAGAGGTCAAGATTGCCAGGACACCTACTTGGGCAAGTCCTGCCTTAGCCAGTCAGAAGTTTGGGGCCTGAGGTTAAGTTATCTAACTTCTACGGTTATCCAATTTCTCATTCGGTAAATCATGCCCAGAAGGGATATATGGGATAATATCTGCAAAGTATCTAATTTGCACTTGTCACTACTACTGCGTGTCTCTTTGTACATGTACGACAAGAAGAGTTCATGACTCAACCTAAGTAGAGGAATTTAAAAGACAATAAGTCCAGGCCCCTCCTTATGTCTCTAAAATCAAGCAAAAGGAAAAGTTTTTTATGCTTAACCACAATGTCCAAGGACCATAGTGAACAGAGATACAAGACCATGTCTGTTTGTCTGCCAAACTAGAGAAGGAACCAAACAGAACAAACAACTTTTTAAAAAGAAGTTCAAGCAGGGATTAGGGACTTATCCCATGGTAGAATACTTCCCTAGCAAGTGAAAGGCCCTGGGTTTGGTCCTCAGCTATAGGAGGAGAGGAAACAAATTGAAAGAAGGAAAAAGGAAGGAGTAAGGAGAAAGAAGAAAGGACATGAAAAAAGGAGAAAGAGGAGGAGACTACTCCAGACATGTGCAAACACACACACACACACACACACACACACACACACACGCACACACACGCACACACACACACGCAAATATTTTTATTACTTCTTTCATTTTTGAGATTATAATTACATCATTTCTCCTTTCCCTTTCTTCCCCCACCCTAAACAAACCTTCTCATAGAGCCCTCCTTGCTGTTTTTCAAAAATACATATTTATGCTTATATATAAATATATTTATATATTAAACACATGAGTACAATCTGCTCAGTCTATGCACTGTTACTTGTACATATATTTTTACAGCTGACCACTTGCTATTGGTGTACTCTTCCATAGGGAAGACTGTTTCTCCCATTCTAAGCACTCCTTAATTGGCTGTAGTTCTTAGTATAGGGTCGAAGCCTATGGCTTTCCTCTGTCCACATTAGCATGTCTATTGTTGTTGTCTTTGTTCATAAATATTTTCAAAGGAAGTTCAATTCACTAGAACACCAGAAATATGAATATTGAGTGAGAACAAGCAAAAGATGACAAAATTAAAAATCTTGCTGGGAATAGTGACATACACCTTTAATCCAAGCACTCAGTAGGCAGAACCAGATGGATCTCTGTGGTTCACGGCTAGCTTGGTCTATACAGTGAGTTTCATTCCAGCCAGGTTTATACATTAAGACTGTCTCAAAAAAACTGTTATACAGAGAAAAAACTATTCTAATGTCATGCCTGGCTAGAAAAGCAGCAGCAGAAACCATTCATTCATTTGTGGATGTAGGATTGCTAGCCAAGTTTCTCACTGAAGCAAATAAACATCTAAGCCATTTATCTCCTTAGCATGTAGTGCCTATACCTCAAGAGGCACCCTGAGTAGATGGGGAGCCTTGACTTGTTTTTTTTTTTTTTAAACTTTTATTCTTCTCTCATACATTCAGACTGCAGTTTCCCCTCCTTCCACTCCTCTCAGTCCCTTTCAAAACTTACCTCTTCCTGAGATCAACTCTTCCTCTGACCCCTACCCTACCCAAAAAAAGAGAAAGATGAGCAAGTGTCTCAGGGATATCTATCAAACATGGCCTAACAAGCTACAGTAAGACTGGGCACAAGCTCTTACATCACTGCTGGACATGGGAACCCATGTCCATGCATGGGAACCCATGCAAGCAAGAGTCAGAGCTAGCCCCTATTCCCATATTGGAAGTCTCACAGGAACACTAAGCTGTACAATCATAAGGTGAGACCTAGCTCAGACCACACAGGGTCTTTTTGTCACTTTGGTTTCTGTGAGTCCCTATGATCCCTGCTTAGTTGATTCTGTGGCCCATGTTCTCGGCGTGTCCTCTAACCTTCTGGCTCCTACAGTCCCTCCTCCTATTCTGCAATGTTGACTGTGGGTCTTTGCATCTGTTCCCATCAATTGCTGTATAATGCCTCTCTGATCACAATTGGGCTACCACCAATCTATAAGTATAGCAGAATGTCATTTCACTGTCTCCTACACCTCTGCCAGTAGTGTTTGGTTCTATCCTGGATCTCTGGGCTATGTCACCTCTGGTTCCTGGCCATCCAGAGAGTGTCAGGTATGGGCTCCCTCTTGTGGCATGGGCTATAAATTGGACTAGTGGCTGGCCATTCCCACAAGTTCTGTGCCACCATTGCCCCAACATGTCTTGCAGACAGGACAGATTGTAGGTCGAAAGTTTTATGGCTGAGTTTATGTCCAAGTCCCAGTGCTAAGAGCCTTGCCTAGTTATAGAAGATGGCCAGTTCCCCCATTACTCTGGATCCACCACTATTAGGAGACTTCCCTAGAGTCACTCACATGGATTCCAGGGAGTTTCCACTATACTATGTTATCACTTCCACAATTGCCCCTCAAATTCCAGTTGTCTTTCCCAGTACTCTTTCCCTCTGTCTCCAACTCCCAACCCTTACCTGATCCCTGCTGTTCCCATCACCACCCATCCACAAAGAACCTTGACTTTTCAAATCAGGCCCCACTACAGTGCAGTTCCACATTCCACAAAACCACTCTCCATCT